TTTCCACCACGTGGTCATTAGCCAGGATCTGGAGGCTGCCACGTTATAATCAAAATATATTATTATCCAACACGCATGAATATAACTGCACACAAAACACTGGTGGCCCAGCATCAGGCCTGCAAAAATAAATTAAAATCTAGATTTTCTGATTAAGATTAAATTACTCTGAAGTTTCCTGCTTTAACGTGAATTGGCTCTCTATGGGGCAGTCCTTTTAGAAAATCTATATTCCATGTTCTGTCTATTCTGTGCAAGTATCTCTTATCTGGGATATTAGAATATTCAGTATCTATTAGGGTCCATAAAATGAAGGGAACTAAGGTGGAAAGGGACAGGACAAAGCTTTCATGACCCCAAGAGGGTTTATCCCTCCTAAAGCAGAATCCTTGAGAAGTATGTGTGATAATATTATAAGAGAAGTATGTTGATTAATTGTTCAATCCCTACCCCACAATGTTAATCTCCATTAAAGAAAACAGATGTCAAAGACTCTAAAATTATTCTAGTATCTTCAACCTTATCTAGAGCTCCCCTCAAGACGTGCAAACCGTGCTGCTAAAATTTGAAGGGAATCAAAACGTGCCTTGCCTAAGCAAGGATAAACTAGGGTGTCCTCACTACAAAAAAAACATACCAGGAAATGCCTAGTAAAAAACAATCAGTCACATAATACTATTGCACAACAAAAGATATTTAGGGTTTAGAAAAGATTAATGGAAATTCTTTAAAATGGGTTGCAAAACCAAGCACGAGGCAAGAAAAACTATTTTTTTTTTTGCCTACAATTTTTTGCAAACATCTGCTCCTAATTTAAACTATTTATCGCAGAAAGTCTGTTTTCGGAGTGCAGATCGCTGCTAGGATGTATTTTCTGACATTACAATAAGGCTTCTTAGCTGAGTAAGAAAACAATTGATGAGTAACATGGAATGCCAATTTAATACAATACAACATGTTCCAACGTGCTCCTATCAACACCTGAAAGAGGGAAAGCTCAAATGTCTACATAAAACAGAGCCATAATAGCACCATATTCTCTTAAATGCGGAAACATCGTGTTCATCGCCTTAATGTAGGCAAATTCTTTGTGGACAGAATCACAGAGGATAAGCATTTGCCAGTAAAACAGCGTTTAGTGATCCTAGTGACCCTAAAAAAAAAACAATAATAAAATAAAATAATATATTTATATATTTCTTAAATTAAACAGATCAATATTTCCTGGAATGTACATTTATACACATTACTTGCCGTATTGGTAAATTCTCAATTGAATTTACTGTTTTTACTTTTGGGGTTTATTCACTTAACTGGGACTTTTGGAAAACTGAAAAATGCTTTGCCAAAATAGATGCATTGGAAAACTTCTCTGGCCCATCATCTTCTTTTCTAATATTAATCTATTCATAGTTTTATGAATAACTACACTTATGTAGATTTTTTTCAGAAATAAACCCACGCATTCACACAAACATGTGCGCACGCACTCATTCATGCATACACACCGCTGCTTTCACTCCATGGAGGGACCGGTAAATGTGTGAATCTATGGAAAGTGGTCAAGGTGGCTCTAATAGAAGGATGTGCTCAGGGTGTAGTAGTTATGGTGCCGATAAGCCCTGCCCATGCTTATTTGTCAAATGGTTTCTTTGTCAAATGGTTTGGAAGTGATTTGATAGCTCTCCTATACACCCTTGCAACCATTGTTGTATAGAAATAGGAGTATATCTTTCATACTTTTTTTTAACAAGAGTGAATGTACATATCTGTTATCATCAACAAATACACATGCATATTTTTTCTTGACCAGTATCAATCTAATAGTTATATTAATTTGTACAAACAAGCAGTCTTGGCCATTTATTTTGCCAACTTTTATTTAAAGGGAGAATGTAGTCACCAGAACAACTTCAGCTTATTGTAGTTGTTCTGGTGAGTATAATCATTACCTTCAATTTTTTTGCAGTAAATACAGATTTTTCAGAGAAAATGCAATGTTTACAGTACAGCCTAGGAATACCTCCCCTGGCCACCCCTCAGATGGCTACTAGAGGTGCTTCCTGGGGCATTGCTGCACAATGTGCAACACTGCCATTCAGTGTTTCCACCCTCTGCATGGAGGCACTGAGCTTTCCTCATAGAGATGCATTGATTCAATGCATCTTTTTGAGGAGATGCTGATTGGCCAGGGCTGTGTTTGGCTTGTGCTAGCCCTGCTCCTGATCTGCCTTCTTCACAAGCTCAGCCAATCCAATGCTTTCCTATGTGAAAGCATTGTGATTGTGTCATGATCATTACTTCTGATGATGTCAGCCAAGCAGGCAGATCAGGGGCAGAGCCAGCAGCAGCAGACTGGAATACAAATAAGATGTTACTTTATTTAGGGGGCAAGGGATGCCTATAGGGTCAGGAATACATGTTTGTGTTCCTGACCCTATAATGTTCCTTTAAGGATTTCAATACTGCCACATCAGCATCTGATTTAAAGGACAAATGCTTATTTGTCAAATGGTTTCTTTGTCAAGTGGTTTGGAAGTGATCGGATAGCTCCCCTATACAACCTTGGAACCTCCACACCTTCAAGGATTTATTCTTATGCATTGTTAATGTATATTTTGTTCAACCTGAATGCCAATGATAGGCTGAGATCGAAGGTGACAGGTAAATTTTTTTTTTAACCTCACAAAATCTATACAAATAACAAAACAAACACAACTAACAACTGTGTATTGTTAGATTCTGACAACGATAGTCAGTCCTTAAATTATCACACTCTGGGACGCAATAATACCAAGCAACAAGTTAAGCTGTGACGAAGTGGTTAAATTCAGAGAGATTTGTTTAGGTGATTATTGTACCCTCAAGCTTCATGACATCATAAACTCAGCATGAACTTCATGTAGAAGTATAAAACACTTACTTGACAAATTACTGGTGATGTCTTATGTCAGCAGAAACATGTCTGTGCGAGTTCTGATACAAAGCTGAAAGAACTTGCAAATGCATGATATATCAAATTCGTCTTTATTTTTTGATCATCCTGTTAGGACTTGCCTTATGATATCTCCAGGATATCTACGCAGTGACCAACTGAAGAATAGTACATTGGAATATAAATACAGTATATTGGACTAATTTGGAGAATCATATTTTGTTTTTATGCTTTTTGTGCACTTCAAAGAAAAACTGGTGGATTTGTACAACATCCACCAATTCAAAATGGTTAAAGGAACACATACCAAGCCACGGTCAGGTAGACCAAGAAATATTCTGGCCACAACTCCAGAAGAAATGTTCGGTATACAGAGGAAAACCCACAGGTAACCTCAGGAGAAATACAGGCTGGTCTGGAAAGAGACGGTGTGGTTGTTTCAAGCAGCACATTTTGACGATACAAAAATGAGCTGCATGGCCGAGTTGCCAGAAAGAAGCCTTTACTGCGCCAATGCCACAAAAAAAGCCCTGTAACAATATGACCGACAACACCTTGACACGCCTCACAGCTTCTGGCACAATGTAATTTGGAGTGACGAGACCAAAATAGAGCTTTATGGTCACAACCATAAGTGCTATGTTTGGAGATGGGTCAACAAGGCCTATAATGAAAAGAATACCATCCCCACTGTGAAGCATGGTGGTGGCTCACTTATGTTTTGGGGCTGTGTGAGTGCTGGGGAGATCTCAAACGTGCAGTTCATGCAAGACAACCAAATACTTCACATGACCTGAAGGCATTTTGCCAAGACGAATGGGCAGCTATACCACTTGCAAGAATCAGGGGCCTCATAGACATCTATTACAAAAGACTGCACGCTGTCATTGATGCTTAAGGGGGCAATACACAGTATTAAGAACTAAGGGTATGCAGACTTTTGAACAGGGGTCATTTCATTTATTTTCTTTGTTGCCATGTTTTGTTTTATGATTGTGCCATTCTGTTATAACCTATATTTGAATATGAATGCCATAAGAAATAAAAGAAATGTTTATTTAAAAATGGTACATATATCACCAATTCCTCAAGCGGGTGCAAACTTTTAAACACAACTGTGATGCGATTATAAAGCATTTTCTTGATTCCAGGCCAAACTTCTTCCTTGGTGAAATATTCCATACCTGGCTTCCTGACCTTGTTTTGGGACCATTTTGGTTTGCTCTATCGTCCTATGTTTCTGGTAGCTATTCTAGGCATCTACTTTTTCTAAATAATCTTGCAGCTCATGTTCTATCCTGGATTGTCAATCTATTGTCAACCATGTATCTATAAAGCACTATGCTATTTGCCTGTAACTTCTTACCACATATTGCAACTCCACAAATATGTGGCTATGGTTAAGCAGAAGGTTTAATCAGAGGTTGAGAATAGTTACTATAACAATAGTTGTAGTAGCTATTTCCTGCAACTTGAGCTGCTGTCCTGCAGCCCCTTACGCATTTCATAATGCATTACCAGCTCAAACTTCTGATTGGTTAGACTACTTCTTACAATTATTTACATAGCGACAACATATTCCGCAGTGCTGTAAAGTATAAAAAATCAACAGGGATTCCACAGGTTGACAGTCTGAATATGATGCTAAACCATTATCCTCTGACCTCTTCAAAAACAAGTTTCTTTTCTGTAAGTAATACTCGTATGTGTTATTCTTTGGAAACATTCCACCTTTAAAACATCATTAACCTCCCCAAATCATTTACCAGATTTCCCTATTTCTCCTTTCCAGCCAAACTATATTAAATTAGCTGGTGTATTTTAACAAAAAAACACATGTTTTAGCAATCACGATAAACTCAAGATAAACTCTCCGGAATGTGTTTAAGCAAAGAGTTCAGCTATTTTTGTTCTGTACAAATATGTATGCCGGGAATGGTTTTTAAAACAAATGGTGTTATTTTAGAAACGTATTTTGTTAGTATGTAGATAAAAACTATGGATAAGCAGTGAGAAAGAGTGTGGTCTTAAAGGGACCAAAGACTCTTCATGGACTGCAATCCTTGAAGCTCTAAGTAAGTACGGCAAATGTTTGTAAACTAGAGTCATCCATGATGCTTGGTTATATTTCTAGTGTGATGGGAGAGGGCTCACCTCTTTACTTTCTTATAGGTTATAGAAATAAATGAAAGATTAGGATATGAAGTCATTTCCTGTCTGATTAACATTCTGAAGAGCATGAGGAGGAAGGATTAAAGGGACTTGTCTCAGTGAAGTTGTCTGGGTGCAGTGTTCCTGGCTCCATTAGTTCTGCAATGTAAAGCAGTGCAGTTTTACCAAGACTGCCTCTACTGGTGGTGTACCAGAGGCACTTGCTGGAGTTTTACAGAGTTTGACTCAGTGAAACAAAGCTGGACACCCTCACGCTCTGCATGAGGACATCCAGCGTCACAGAAAACCTCATAGGAAAGCATTGCACATGTGCATTAGTTCCTCCCACCGGATGATGTCGGAGGAGGCGGATACGGGCCCAGCGCCGAGGGACCTTGGCACTGGAATCTGGTAAGTGAATAACGGGTTATTTAACCCTTTACAATGCTGGGGTGGTGAGGGCTTAGGGACACGTTTGTGTTAGGAATACATCTTTGTATTCCTAATACTGAAGTGTCCCTTTAATACCTTCTTCACACTAGATCTTCAGGAATTGCAACATTTTGACATAAGACTCCACACATGGGAATGCATTGCACTGCATGTCCCCATATAATATATATGGCACAGGGCCTTCTACTGCTAAGGTTTGCTATTGCAAAAAAAAAAAATAAGAATAACATCATGATGTGTGAGGTAGTTGTTGAACCCACGTTTATGAAAATATTTAATATTTACAAAACAGTGTCTTATCATGTTAAAAAAGTCTGTCAACCAATTAATAAATGAGGGTGCAACTATGCAAGTGCCCTTAAAGGAACACTCAAAGCACTTTAACCACTACAGCATGCTCTATTAAGAGCCAGATGCTCCATTAGCTCTCCTGTGCTAAGACCTATCTTGCAGGTCCAGCTCATTGGCTGACAGTGTCAACTGATTGTGGATAGTGGGCTGTAGTGGTTGTGGTGTTTAAAGTAGTCCTTTAAAGTACGCTAGTCATGTAAAAGCATTAATAACTGTTAAAGAGAATAAAAATAGATGTTTGACTTTCACTAACCAGATTTGTAGCAATTGCATACAATAGTTTAACTATTCCATATGCCCCATTGCAGACCCACCCTCACTGACTCTGTGAACAATTGACAATAATATTTGAACTGAGCAAGATTTATGTACCTGCTCAACAGACATTGAATACATTGTTGTACGTTTAATATCTGTTATGCATGGATAGAACACCAGACATTGAAAGAACAGAGGTGCACTGGGATAAGCAGGGTTAGAGGAAAACAGTGGACACTATCTTCAGTGAAAATGTTTTGCCATTTTTCTGCCATTACCCTGTCTATTGACAGTATTCTAGTGGGAACATAGAGACGAGAACCCTAATCAATCACTATCAGTCTAGAGGAGGATGAGATCTATGATAGCCAGAGGTATCAGTCTATCTATCTTTCATTTATATTCCCGTTTAAGACAGAGGATGCAATGCATGGATACATCATTGATACATGGTTACAGCAAGCTATAGATTTTGGCCTCATTAATATGCTGTGTACTTGTTTGCATGCTCCAATCTTTATAGATTTACAGATTTGTAGATGTACCAGAAGTTGAGGAGGAAATAATTGAAGCTGAGGGGGAAAAAAAAGAAGACAGAGCTTGTCATCAAGGTAATGGGATGGATGAGACTATGGGGTGCACAGCCAGTCTCATTTAGACTGAGACTGTGGGGTGTGCAGCCAGTCTCATTTAGACAAAAGGCAGTGTTTACATTACAGCCTAGGGACACCTCCAGTGCAGTCACTCAGACGGCTACTAGAGGTGTTTCCTGGGTCAGTGCTGCACAGTGTGCAGCACTTCCGTTCAGCGCCTCCATGCTCTGTATGGAGACACTGACCTTTCCCTATAGAGACTGATTAAATGCATCTCTTCAAGGAGATTCTGATTGGCCAGTACGGCATTTGACTCTGCCCCATCCCGCCTCCTTGGCCGAGATCATCAGAATTGACAATCTCAGCCAATCCAGTACTTTCCCATAGTTTTAAGCCTTTTTGGGAAAGGCAAGGGGAGGAGGGGTGGGGGGCTAAATAGTGTTTTTAACACTATAGGACCAAGAAAAGACATTTGTATTCCTAATGCTATAGTGCTTCTTTAATGTAAGAGAAAGTGCCACTATTCACTGGTCAACAATGGTAAAATGGCTCTCAAAAAGGATGAGACAATGATTGTGACGACCTCATTAACAACTCACTGGCAGCACTTAAAGTGTTGATAAATATCAGGTATGGGATTGTAAATTCGTTATGTATACTATTTCCTGTCATTCAATACAGAATTGGGCCTCCCATCCAGTTCTGTATTATATGACAGATTCACTTCTAAAGATAATGACTCAAATACTGCCTTGAATTTTACATTATAGACTGGTATAATTTAGGAATTGCTTACGTTTAGTCAAAATATTTTTAACAGTAAAAATGCTTTGTCTCAGTTAAAGTATAATTGACATTTTGTATCTGTCTTGCCAGTACAGTGATTGGTAACACAGCACCTACGGCAATTGCTTAAAAAATTGAGAACGTTTGGAGAGACCCACAAAGCAGTATTTGCAGCGTTGGCTAACACATCACATTCTTTAAGTACTTGTTTTTCTTCTTTTGTGGTAATGAAATTGACCTTTTCAGTGAGAGTTAGGAAAGTAGAAACCAGTAAAAGCGATGGAATAAAACAGCTGATCCTTTGCGTCAGGAAAAAGCAGTGATTGACATCTTAATATTGCTTGAGTGACACACATATAGTATAGGATAACTATACATTTACAAAATATCACGTGATGAAACTAAACTTTTTACTGTAACAATATCTTTCTCAGTTGAATGACAACAACGAGAAAAGAGAACAGATCATTTTATGGTATATGCACTTTATACAAATATATAAAAGAACACTTTAACCCTGTTTTTAAAATCCTTAAATACAGCACATCGCATTCACTAAATAAATGAAAAGGGCTGTAGATTCCAAACAGTGAAAATATAAGCAGTTAGATTCAGAAAGGGAGGGACACGAAACTGTATTTGCTTTTTTTTTTTTATTATAATTTCTTTTTTATTGGCAAAAACAAGTTTTCCATTAGGAAATGCATTTACATGACAAAATTAGCACTGGATTCACCGTCATAACAGCTGTAAATTACAGTTCATCAATAATTCTATTTTGAATGTCAAAACAAATATTTTTTTATCCGACAAGCCAACTATATTATATTTGTAGGATACTGAGTGTTTGCTACAGCATTTCTTAGCAACTGATAATGGCAGAACTGTCGTATCCTTGTGTGAATTACCCTCATATCTCCTGATCACGTGACAGTCTGGCTCTGCCATCCGGTTTTTGGAGGATTGAAGAAAAGTGTAGTGTGAGAGCTTTTTTAAAAATGCAATTCAGGGAAATTTAAAGAGACACTTCCAGCACCAAAACAACTTTAGCTTAATGAAGCAGTTTTGGTGTATAGATCATGCCACTGCAGTCTCACTGTTCAATTATCTGCCATTTAGAAGTTAAATCATTTTGTTTATACTGTCCTGGCCATACCTTCCCTGGCTGTGAGTCACAGAGCCTTCCTAAACTCTTAGACCCTGAAACAGAGTCTAAATGTTTTAGATTCCCTTATTGCAAAGTGTGTTTCACTTAGAGTTTCTTATCGCCTACTAATTGTCTCCTTAAGCTTACAGGAGCCTCCTATGTGTGATTAAAGTAAAATTAACAGAAAAGAAAATAATAAATATGCCGTTGTACTAGATCTTTTTGAAAATGAAATAATTTTTTTCATTGAGACTGTGCACAGCAGAAAGCTCAAATACAGTAAGAATAATTAAATCATATATTTAAAATAATGATAATAATTATATATTTAAAAAGTATTGTGGCAATCTATTGTAAATCTATTGTAAACAATTCTATGAGATGGCATTCACTCCTCACGCTCTGTAGGAATTGTATGACTGTTGAAGCTTCTTTTACTGTTTAATAGGAGGAGGGGGCTGCCATTTATAGCCCATCTGCAGACGTTACATTGGAATGCTCTACAGCTCATTGTAGTGGTTATAGTGTAAAGAGTCTTTCACTGATGTCTGCTTATGTTTTGGTGAACTGTTTTTAAGCATTTTTTGCAAAAAGTAGGGCTCTTCTCAGATCCCAAATCCATCCTTTCTGCCAGTAATGTGGAAGATTTACATCTGTCGTATCCATCCAAGATGCTCAGCTCTGGATAGCAATGATAGCCTATAATTACTAGGGGTGAATTTATGTATGGTTGGAATAATAATGCAAAGCTGCATATCCACTTCACCTGGGTGGCTGCAAACAGGATGGGTTTAGGCAGAAAAGGATTACAATTCCACAGGACCGGAGGCAGTCTACCCCTTCTTTATTCTTTATATATGAACGGTTAATGGGGCCAAGCAAGTTCATGGTTCTGTGGCCCCTGTCTAACCGTTGGGCCCCAGGCGGCAGCCTAGGGTCACCTTATGTTTTAGGTACCCAGAGTACTACAGTTTTTGTTAAACTACTTAAAACTGGTTTGCCGCAATAAACAAATGGCTCCCAAATACTTTTTGCACATAACCACAACAACGAGCTATAGTTCTCTTTAATAGTAAAACTATGTCACAAGGCAAGGGGAGATGTCAGTAAAAGGATTGAGTGTATGAAATGAAGGAATTTTAGTGGGAAAAGGTTAATATAATTCTTTACATATGTCTTATAAGCATAGGCTTGCCAGATGTACCCAGGCAAAATCTAAAGCACCCAACAAGCAGGTCCAGCCCTGCGCCACATTTCTTTATTTTAACATGGTGCATTTGATGGGCACCATGTGTAATATCTAATGCTGCTTAACATACCGTTTGTGGTATAGCCGGCCTGCTCTCCTTGGTATTCATTTTGCTGAGCGGAGCTTGTAAATGGGAGGCGCTATCAGCCAGGCCCCGCTCATTAAGTTAATACCGCTGAGAGCATGGCACAGCAGGGACAGAGCAAGTCCCCATCTCCTGCCAGACTGCCCTGATACAGACTGCCCTGGAACTTGGTCTGGGTCACCACAGTGCCAGCTTCTAACCCCCATCTCCCCCCCCCACTGCAGCCTCATCCCCCCTTATTGCAGCTCCTAACCCCCTTCATTTTATTCCTCCCATTAAAGCAAACCATCCTTCCCCACTCCCATCTCTCTCACCCATGACTCTCACTCCATCCTCATATCACCTCAAACCCATCCCTCTCTTCCTTCTTCTCATCACTCCCATCCATCCCTTCCTCTCTCCCCATCCTCCCCTCCCATCTATCCTTCTATCCCTTTCATCCCATACTCCCCTCCCATCTATCCGTCTATCCCTCTCTCCCCATCCTCCCCTCCCATCTATCCGTCTATCCCTCTCTCCCCATCCTCCCCTCCCATCTATCCGTCTATCCCTCTCACCCCATCCTCCCCTCCCATCTATCCGTCTATCCCTCTCACCCCATACTCCCCTCCCATCTATCCGTCTATCCCTCTCACCCCATACTCCAACCATCTCTCCCTCACTCTTGCCCTCTCTGCCAGCCATCCCTCCATCCCTCCATCTCTCCCATACCCCTATCACTTCCGCCACATATTTCCATCTCTCCCCATCATCTGATCCACCATCCTCAACCTGCTATCACTTCAACTCATCCCTTCTTCTCCGCAAGTTCCTATCACTCCCAACAATCCATTCCATTACCACTCCGATCACTTCCACACCTAACATTCTCTCCCCATGCCTATCACTCCTATCCCAGCTTCCCCACTGACAGCACACTCATCTGTTCACACGGCCCTCACTGCTACCCACACACATAACACACAGCAATACCATTCATTTACAGCAATACTATTCACTCACAAGTACCCAGACATATCACTCTAATATACTCACACATCACACATAGCTATTCACACACAGCCACAGAAAACAGACAGAAAGATACAGCTTACAGCTACCACACACCTTCTCAAAACAAAAAAACCTCTCGCACACAGCCTTCGAAAAAATATTCCCGGGTGCACACCCTAATAAAATGTGCTTAGAAGAATGCATCTATAATATTGTGTCCAGTTCTAGAGAACTTTACTACAAAGAGACATAGAAACAACAGAAGAAATTCTAACAAGGAATACTAGACCCGTGCAAAGTCCGCAATAATACATATCAGGAAAGAGATAAATTACTAAAAATTCATATGTTGAAGCCAAGACGTGGTAATGGCTACATGGATCATCAAACTTGATACTCTCAGCCAATCCAATTAGGCAAAACGGCATTGAATCAACGCACCTCTATGGGAAACGTAGAGCATGAAGATACTGAACACTGGGCTAAGAATCACCTCTAGTGGTCATCTGAGTGACTGCCGCTAGAGGTGTCCCTAGGCGGAAATTTAAACACAGTCTTTTCTGTGAAAAGGCAGTGTTTACATTAAAAAGCCTGCAGGGACATGCTGTAGACACCAGAAGCACTAAATTAAGCTGTAGTTGTTCTGGTGACTATAGTGTCCCCTTAAAGCTAGGTGGAGGGAGACAGGTTTCTGCAGGAGTTGTACAGAAGGAGTTGTACATGGAAGGAACAGCATTCCAGCAGAGTTGCTAGAGTCTAATAAAGTGAAATAATTCCAAAAAGCTTGGGATTGCTACACTGCTTTTTTGAACAGGAGATAAAATAGGAAAAAAGACCATTACGGTTTTAGGAAAACAAGCGAGAAACTCGACTTCATCTGCATCAAGATCAGTTTTAATAGAATATGCAACTTTTCTGCATCATCATAGATCTCAAAAAGGTCAAAACATGTTCCTATGTATGCCCAAGGGGATAGCAGTACAAACTCTATTACATATTTAATTTCTCTCGATAGCGACCAAGACAACAAGCACATGTTCGACCATGTCTATTTATTTGCTTTTGGGTGGAGGTGAAGACTGGAGAGATATTTTTCCAAAACAAACATTTCTTTTCTTAATAAAGTCATAAGCAACTGAAGCTAATAAGAGTCCATGTCTAACTTGATAATAACTTTAATCATATGCAAATTAAAAGAAAACAAACCATATGCTGTTCAATTAACCATTTATGGACCGAATCCATTTCATGCCTCCATCCAAATCTCGTGCTTACTTGGCATCAGATTTCCTATACATCCTTGCTGTCTCTTAATGAGTGCAACACTCTAATTTAATTAGTGTTTGGTAAAGCCTAGATTATAATGACAGAATTATACTGTAATTGACTCTTAAGGAGTTAAAATAAAGATAAAAGTGATATAACGTTACATTAACTCTCTAAACTCTATGGACCGTAACATTACATGCCAGTGAATGACAATTCAAGGGGCTTCTTACACCTAAGAGAAAATGAGGGAAATTAATCAAGGCAAACTTGGTGCGATTTTCGGTGCTAAATATTGATTGTTTGGTTTCCATGGTGATTGCTCCATATTTAGCTCTTTGCTCCAGAATAGCACCTGTTTTTGCCTCGATAGATCCCTACCAACATGTTCTGTTGACCTTGTTATTATTCAAAACATTCCATAAAAGTATCATATATGGTTGTGGGTAGCAACTATCCTTAGTTGCATTGGGTAATAGTTTAATATAACTAACTAATACGTACTTGGAAACCAGAGAATATCTGAATGTACCTTTCCTGGTTAAACACTTTGTTATTATTATTATTATATATTTTACCGAGACTTGTACACACCCAACCTCTTTTCCCCGTTGGACCTTTGCTACAGTCGTTCTTGTGGCTACTTTGCAGCTTTAGTTAAAGTTCACTGATTGCTTTGGAAAGTCCCCGGGGTAAACATTATAAAACGCCTTGCAATCCCACAGAGAATAGGAGAGTAAAACTGATATCTTACTGTGCAGGACCAGAAGCAGGCACACAAGCAATTTGAATATGACCTCCATCTCTCCGGTTGAGTTTTCTTGTTAATCCGAGCTACCTGTCTTTGCTTTTTAGTCTTCTTCCACTCTTGTTTGTGCTTTGTTCATTGATGATATCACTTTAATTCCCAACTCAACATCTGCATACACAGCTTTCCCCTTTCTCCTCCCCCCTAATAAGTTTCAGCATCACTCTGCCCTATCCTATCCCTGCGGCTCAGCCTGACCCAGCCTCTCTCTGCAGATTGCATGCAGACCCAAGAACAAAAAAACCTACTCTTTCTCCCTCCACCCTTCTCTGCCCTGATTCTTCTTCTGAATTCTTTTTTTTTTTTCTTCTTGTAGTCTATACAAGATCCAGCTAACGAAGGCTGTCCCTGACACAGCTCCAGAACTAGGGAGCTGTTTTAGGCTGTTTCCTCGTTAGATTGGTTTTATTTAACTTTTTCACAGCCAAGAGCAGTGCAGAGCAATAACAGAGCCACTGTGTGCTTGGGTTTTCAATATCCTCCCTCTTCTTGTCTAATGTGGGCAATTTATAGCTCGTTAATTGTCGGTGGACTGAAATTCTTGCGATCCTTAGTTCACTTGCTTTGTAGACAATCACTCCCGAATGTATACCGCTTTATGATATTTTACTCAATACTAGTACATTGGTGTGGAAGATCCACATCTGGAAACCTGTGTCTGTTATCGGTCAGTTACCACCTACAATGCCGAAACACCTGTAGCAAGGTCTTATTAGTCCAATCTCTGTGTGTAGTGATTCCCCCGAGGTTGTGCCAAGATTTCTCAGTGTGTGGAGCAGATCGGCGCAAATCAAAATAATTTAGAAATATTAAATTGTGTGACATTTTTTAACAATATAGATCTAGGTAGAAGAACATGTTTTCATTTGAGAGGCTAGTGTAACAAAGTGTTTGATTCCTGTAAAGGTATAAATATCGCTAAGGCAATAGAGAATTTTGAAATGCCGTGTTTGAGCCATAAGATTATAGATGGTGCTGTTATCCGCAATCATAAGAAATGTGTTGGTTTGGTTGTGAATATTGTATGTTTTAGGTTTAGAAGAATAATAGCAAAAACATACAGAATACAAGAACATTGAGAACTGATAAAAGCCTAATAGCTTGCCCTGCAGTTAGTGCACGCTCAGGTCTCAAACAAGTTTTTTCTCAGATATGCCATTACAGAGAGAACCTTAGCCTTCTGCATATCAGACTTATCCCAACCAAAAGGATGGTTCAGATCCAAAATGCTGGAAGACTCAGTTTGCACAAGAAATACAGCCAGCCCCGGTGATCATTTATTCAATGAGGCCTTTTTTGGGCCTAATGGGTGATGTGCATCTAATACCCCCTAGGCACAGTGAGCAGCCAGCCGCACACTCCTTGTCTTTCAGGTTGATTGCGGAGCATCATGGGGCTTACAGTTCCACCTTAGCTGGGGAGCTATTTACTGATTCCCCCAACAAGCTATTCCACTAATTGTTTTGATTGCACGCGCTTATTGAACATAGTATATCACTATAATATTCTGGCTTCTGATGCAGCTGCCTGACATCAGGCTCATCTGAAAAACCTTTAAACCACATGTACTTCCAGATCATTTTCCAATTAAGATTCCCTCCCCCCCACCTGAAAACAACATAGACATAGAAACATAGAATGTGACGGCAGATAAGAACCATACGGCCCATCTAGTCTGCCCGATTTTCTAAATACTTTCATTAGTCCCTAGCCTTATCTTATAGTTAGGATAGCCTTATGCCTATTCCACACATGCTTAAACTCCTTTACTGTGTTAACTTCTACCACTTCAGCTGGAAGGCTATTCCATGCATCCACTACCCTCTCAGAAAAGTAATACTTCCTGATATTATTTATTTATTTTTTAATTCTTTATTTATGCATTGACAGACATTTTAGTGTGACATCAATGTCGGCTTACGCAGAAGCCCAGTCACCGATTTCGCTTTGATTATGTTACAGAAAGGAAGGTTAGGTTATTAGCGTACATAATATATATTGTTGGTACATTTCGTGTGGGTTGCGCAGAAGCCACCATCGCGCAGTTTTCGTTTCGCCTGTCAAAGTTTTTCTTTTATTTTATGTATAGAACATGAACAGGAAAATATATACAAAAGAAGAACAAAATAGAAGGAAAATATAGTTAAAATTGCACGAGTGAGTAGTCGTCTGTGGGTGGGTGCTCATTCGTCTTGTGTTTTTTCATCATATTGTTCCCAAAGGGTGCATACCTTTTGGAATGTGGTAGTGGTGTTGCGGACCTGTGCTGTCATCTTGTCCATTAAATAATTATCCCTGATTTTGGAGATTACTAGAGAGATTGGGGGTGTCTCAGGTTTCACCTGATATTATTTTTAAACCTTTGTCCCTCTAATTTAAGACTATGTCCTCTTGTTGTGGTAGTTTTTCTTCATTTAAATATAGTCTCCTCCTTTACTGTGTTGATTCCCTTTATATATTTTAATGTTTCTATCAAATCCCCCCTGTCTCATCTTTCCTCCAAGCTATACATGTTAAGATCCTTTAACCTTTCCTGGTAAGTTTTATCCCGCAATCCATGAACCAGTTTAGTAGCCCTACTCTGAACTCTCTCTAAGGTATCAATATCCTTCTGAAGATACGGTCTCCAGTACTGTGTACAATACTCCAAGTGAGGTCTCACCAGTGTTCTGTACAATGGCATTAGCACTTCCCTCTTTCTACTGCTAATACCTCTCCCTATACAACCAAGCATTCTGCTAGCATTTCCTGCTGCTCTATTACATTGTCTTTCCTTATATGTTGAGGTTAGAACTCTATCAAATATTCTGTACTCTGCCCTTGGGTTTTTACGTCCAAGATGCATTATCTTGCACTTATCCACGTTAAATGTCAGCTGCCACAACTCTGACCATTTTTCTAGTTTACCTAAATCATTTGCCATTTGGCTTATCCCTCCTGGAACATCAATCATGGTGTGTATTTTATTCCAGGTTTTTATACAGGGATAATAATAAATGCACTGGAAACACTCTCAACGAGGAACCAACATTACCAACACTTTTTGAAGTAAATTGAAGACGTAATCTCAGCTAGATCTGTTCCTTTCCTTGTCCGAGGGAACCGTAAACCAGCGAACATTCTAGATATGAGTTAATGCTAGAATTAGACTTTGTGACCTGATAAACAAACAGAACGAGCCAAGTCCAAGGCCAGCAGTTAGCTTCCTACTGCCTACTAATAATCAGAGAACTTGCTGGCTCCGTGTAAAGACTATCTCATCATAACCTGAACAAACAGAGGAGAGTCTAAGGGGATGTTACACAGAGAGAAAGGATGACTGGGAAGGTAACGGCAAAGGAGCATGGCGTGAATGTAGAGAAGCATACCGTTTGCACAGCTTTACTAAGACACTTAGTGATTTGATTGGTTCAGTGTATGGAAATTTTATTTAAAACCTGACAATAGATATTCTCCATTCTGTCCATGTACCCATTCATTTTATGGGCCAACAGAGCTTGTCAAACGTTTCCAGAAACCTTTTTTATATCTTTAACTAGAATGCTTAAAAAAAGAACTAGAACAAGCTAAAGCTGTGCAGGGCTGTAATTAATACTGGGGCTCTCATCTACCCAACGCTGCCTTGAAGTACGCATTTTTCAATGTTCCTCATTGGAATGCCAATGTGGAAACAGTAACTGCTCCACGTGTGGACAATGAGGACTTGGCACAAAGCTTCAATGAAAACATACTCCGCACTGCAAAAAGGGACATAAATTAATAGACATTAAAACATTTTCTATAAATAATTTTTACAATGGCTCGGCTGTTTTTAAAGATATTTTTAAGACTTTAATTGCATCCAGTGTGCTGTGGAGCTCATTATACTATGAATGAACAGATATGGCCCTCCATTAACCCCTTAAGGACCAAACTTCTGGAATAAAAGGGAATCATGACATGTCACACATGTCATGTGTCCTTAAGGGGTTAAAACATTCTATTTCCTGATTTCAGAATCGATGTAGTATGATCTACAGCAGGTACCTTTAACTATATTGACCCAAATATTCTAAGACTCACTTCAGACTGGCGTTTTGGAAATACGGATCTTCTGCCGTAGCCGACTATCATTTAATCTTAACTCTTGAAATAAAGATCCTTAGGAACCACCAGTAGTATATGTTACATATGGGGTCAGTAAAATTGTTGAAGATTGGGGAATCAATGCTTTCTGAGTTTTATTTGCTCAGCACGGTGGAGGTGCATCTAGTGGCTGTAAGCGTAACAGTCACGGGAGGTGTGTTTAACCCTTCAATTTAAACGATTTTTTGTTTTTTAAAACGGCAATATTTTACCTTCAATCGCTAAATTGCTAGGACCACTGCATCTCAATGAACTGGCCTGGGTGACTGTATGGTCCTTTAATAACCCCAGGTGTCAGAAGCTCCAGTGAAACCAGGTGTTTGCTTATGAAAACAGACATAACCACAGCATAACAGAAGAAGGATAGATAAAATTAGAGAATATGGAGAGTGACCAAGCTCCGGCCAGTTACACATTTTAGAAAGTTAATGGAATAAAGGAATAATGCATCTTTATAGATGTACAATTAGAAGCCATAACATGAGCGTACCGTAACAGATCAAAGACCTTGGCAACCAAAGGGTTAAACCGTAAACAATTAAAGACTCAAATTATGACACAGTGCATTTTTAAATAACCCAGAGTGTATCAGCCACGAACAGCCAGCCAAATTCGCTGATCATTTCGTACAGTCAATATGTGTCACAGATGTTCATTTTGCCAATTTAGCTGAGTCAAAAACATCTGCTGAGAATTTAAGTAAAGACGTCTCTTGGTGGAGGATAACATTTTGATAGCCCAGTAAATTGCTTTGTACTGCAAGGTCTAACACAGTGTTGTATACTCTGGGGGCAACATATGCAGTGTGGATTATGAAACATTCCTATGTGTACAGTGCAGTACACTTGCCTAGACGTTAAGCATAAGAAGTACTTACGGTTAGGGGAATTGATGGATACTGGGGATTTCAGAGGTTGCTGATTATTATTCTAGCTGATAATCACAGGAGTTAGATTCTTCGGTATCTTGAAGGCTCCAGGTCCATGTTAACATTAAACCCCCAGGTCTGATCAAAAGTCCTGCCTTACCCTAAAACACCCCTTAACTCTAGGCCCCCCTCATTGCAGCACTTCACTATTATGGCATTGCATTATTTTTACCAACCTCTATTTTATGTTACAATATTTCGTTTTTAGTTAATTAATTAATTTTTAGTGATTTTTTTTTAAATGTTTTATCACTACTAGCAACAGTACATTCGCACAATTACCTCTTCCAAGTTTACCAAGTTTAAGAAATCTAATTTTCTTAGTGCAGCTAGGGATTTGATCTGGAAACAAACAATTGCCCCTAGTTTGGAACTTGCATAGCTATACTAGAGGAGATCAGGGAAATGAAATCTTTGACAGCATTGCTTTACGGGAGTTCAAAATTATTCAACAAACCTTTGGCTTGACTTTCTATCTAAAATGCGTTTGGGGTGAAGACAAGTAATTCTTAAGATTGATACCTAGCGTGTGCACTGTATCCAGCCCCATCATAACATCCTCCTGAAGCCATCCATTCCTTTTCTCTTCTCTTTCTCTCCTTTTCTCTCCCTTTCTACTCTTTTCTCACTTTTCCTTTTCTTTGCTGGATCTCCATCGAGGAGACTGGTATTTTTCGACTATCTTCTTAGCACTTTGGATCCTTTCTGGCTAGTTGTACCTCCCTCTACGGGGTTCCTCATCAATGCTCAAGAGATGACTCTTTTCTCGAAAATTACTGCCTTCTGTATTTATTATATATATAGGGCTTATCCTGGTCGTACATTAGCTTTTCTGTTTAACATGGGGTTCACTGCTGGCTGTTTGGTACTTTAACTTTTACATAATGCTTTGAACTGAAAAAGTATTGTCTTCTGCTTGTTCTTTATACTCCTGTTATTATTCACTTAGCTGTATCTTTTGAAAACTTTCTTAGAGCAATAAATCTAGATTTCGGTAAATCTTCTGGTGACATTGTTAGTCATTGTCCAAAGACACAAGGTAGGCAAGTCTCTGCTCTGTGGAGAGATGCTAGTTAGAAATCCAGAATAGTACCAACGACCTTGCCACCCTAAGGTCACACTAAATGTCTAAACCTCCAGATTCAGATTCTAGATCCTATGGTAAACATGGCTCACTCAATTTGGCTTCTTTAATATAATAGCTAAACTATTGGAGAATTAAACAATCCAGATTATTCACTGAACCGGAACTTGTTGGGAATTGAGAAAGGAATTTAGATTTTCAGGTTAGAATAGCGAACTGGGAAAATTTTCCCAGGCACATAGTTTTCCAGCTCCTCTATTTTGGGCTACATTATGACATTCTCTGTGAATTTGTTTGCATAACCCTGCAAGTTTTTAGTCAATGAAATATGCATACAACTACACAAAAACAAACACACAAATGTTCCTAGATCTTCTGAATTTTCCTCACACCTGTATTCAGCGTAATGTTTGCCCTTACTTTTTCCCAGGCAGAAGGTGGTGAGTATATGCTCTCTGAAAGTGCTCTCTGGGTTCTAACTAACAGCTAAATGATTCCAGTGGGTGGTGTTGTAACTAGTCGACTATTTCCTGTCTCAGAAAATCTTCAAAAACCAGACATAACTCATTGATCCTTCCAAACAGCAGGGGGAATGGGACATTGACATGAGACAGAAACGAGGAGTGCAAAGTGTGCCAATTGTACACAATCTGCTCCTCAACTTTAAGGAGGAAAAAGAGATCTTCGGTTATCACAATGGAGAGAAGCATATATAAAGTATACCAGTACAAGTTTATGGCCGGGATTTGGGCCACATCTGGGGTGAAAATCTGTATTTACACAGGAACGAGAAGAAAGAGCATGTATTCTCATGAAAACAGCCAATAAAAACAGACAAACTGATTACAGAACATCAACACAGAATTGAACCGGGGAGAGTGAAAGAAAACCAGCAAGACTCAAAGAAAGGATAAGGATGTAAGTGGAATGTGGGCGAAAATCTACCTCCCTTGAGATCTGCCAATAAATAATTCATCTATCTTCACTTTTTACTGTATAACGCCATATAGAATAACTTGGGTTATGTAATATTTATCCATAACAAACTGAGATGGAAAAAAAAAAAATAACAAAAATAAAATTCTTCTGAGTTTACAATGACTGCTCCATAGGTATGAGCAGTTATAAAAAAATCTATAGCACTGATCTTTTAGAAATCAATGTTACAGGGGTGTGTGGCCTGACTATAGAGCGAGCAGGAGGCTTGCTGAAAGAGCTCCTAGGCAAAAACTAAGAAATTGGCCCATAACCTGCTAATTTTCACAAATTACCAGCTGAATCTGAACCCTGAGTTCATCTGGGCACCACCTGGACCAAACTCTATGACTCTGCTGAGAGTTTTGTGGGATCTGACAACTCTTGCGGCCTGCTAACTAACCAGAAGCGGAGGACGAGGCCGGTCTCCCGTCTGGTTTACATATCAACGACAATCTGGGCCAGCCCTCTGGGCTGGTGGGGCTTATCCCGGTCCCCACAGAGTACATGCCTATGAACAACCCGGTGTGGGGTGATAATCAGTACCAAGCATCTGAATCTACGGACACGCATGCTTGCAGCAAAGATGACCACCACACAGAGACACACGTAGTGTGTCTACGTAGCAGTTGCTTAGTTAAATGAGACTGTCACTTTCCTGGATTTTTAATACTATATTTACTTATCCATTGTATATAAAAACTATGCATTTGTGGGGTGTGACAAAATTACATTAGAAAACCCATAACTCTCTTTCGTGCAGATGGGTGCCTCCATCTTAGTTCCCTGTCAATCATTGTGATAAGCTATGACCTCTGCACCTGACAGTCAGCATAGAGAAAACATACAAAGAAGTGGAGAAATTATACAATGTTTCTCTTTATCCTCATTTGCATTGTGTGCCATGGCTGTGCCTTCACTAACTGGATTGTGATGTTATATGCTAAATCTTTAATTTAAATTAAAAAGAAAAGGGAGCATCATATGAAAGAAAAGCTAAGACAAAGTATAGGTGATTTTCAGTGCTTTACTCAATGTTACAATTTCCATGAAAGTGATAGTTCTCCTTTAACTTGTGATATTTAGGAAGTAGGAGAAGCTAATAAGAAAATGAACTTCTGTTGTGACTCACATAGAAAGTCTACACTGTTTCTGTTAGCATCTTATTGTCAGAATAACACATTCTTGTGGTTTGGAATGCTGTAGAGGGAATATTCTGACCGCCGTGGCTCATACTGGCATTACTTTAACCCGTGGAGACTCAAGCTTTTTGTCTTATAATGCATTTATACAGTACGTGGGTGAAAAATGAGAATCTGAGGAGGCCTAGACATTTTAAAAGCCCATATTACCCAGAAAAAAAGCAGTTTGCGATTTCTGCATGCAAAAGTGCTGTAAAATGAAATAAATAAATGACATGACTCGATAAATGAGTTAATGAGATCACAATGTTGTTTTCGCGTGTAACAGGCATCCTTGAACTATTCCAGCTTTACAGCCGGGGAGCTATAGCTGTGCTGTAGATTTGGGTTAAAAACCCATTGGCTGTTTTCTGGTTTATTAAAATAGCAACATTGTAAAAAAGCAGTCTGCATGGCTGCTGGTTAAGAAGTAAATGCAGTGTTGAGTAACAAGCAATCATGTGAATTCAATTAAATAAAATACCCTTCCAGAGAGTCAGAGCATCCTGCACTATTGTTGTTTCTGGCTGGGGTGTGAGTGCTATAAATATTGTAGCAGTGAACCCTTTTAAAGCAAAGTGGGCCTCAATTCGGTATGATACTGACTAGGCACTTAAGGTACTACACAGAGATGAGCAAAATAATGAACAAGTAGACTAGAAGAGAAGGGCTTTTAATGAGTCTGGCAAAATGTAGGCTTTGAATTAACACTTGAAGGAACACTATAGCATCAGGGATAAAAACATAGATACATAGCCATTTAGGTTCCCTGTTAAAATGGTGATTTACTTACTTTTTTCTACCACCGTAGCTGGCCAATGAGAGGCTATTGTGCATGCACTACAAGACGCCGCTCTGCGCCAATCAACACCTCTTTATATAAATGCATTTAATCAACGCATAACTACGGGGAAAGTTCAGCGTCACCATGCACGTTGTGCAGCTCTGACCCAGGAAGAACTTCTAGTGGCTGTCTGAGTGACTACCACTAGGGGTGTTACTAAGCAGTAATGTAAAGACTGCTAGTGTTTACATTAACTTGCCTGCAGGGACTGACTATACTCCCTAGAACAACTACATTAAGCTGTTAACAATAACTATATTGCATTTTACGCCACAACAGTGCTTTTTTTGGTTTTCAACAAGGAAATCAGTATGGCTCAGTTTAGACCTGCACAGTTTTTAGTAAGTTATTCAAGCATAGCGTATCTGCTATAAGAGGACAGTGATGGTGAGCATATTGTACATTGTACAGTTAGTATATTCATTCGTGTAGCAGCTGATGGCATTCTGAGTTTAGTACAGTATGATATAACATATTAACCAGGCTCAACGCAGTTATACTATGATTACAAAAGAAAACTTGTGTGTCGTTAGTAGTTCCTATTTGTCTATTATTCACTCGTTGGTTGACGACATTTGAGAACTTTCTGTGTGTTGGTGGGTCCTGGTGTGCGTGGGGGTGATGTGGATTGTGCCCCTTAGCCTTCAGGTGTGGTATTAGTGACATTCAAAAACTCTATTGTATTAACTAAACAAGTAGGTAAACGTTGCACCTGTGCGCTGTTAGAGTCATGTGGCATCTATCGGGGCGCCTCTTCTTCGGGGTGTGAAGGGGCCAGTCCTTGTTGGGTCCCAGTTATGAGAGGTGGTGGGTGCATCACGTGTGCCAGGTTCCGGGGGGAGCCCCAGTGCTTGAAAGAATGGGTCTGCCTCCTGTATGGAGGTGAGTTTGAGAGTGGTACCGTTTCGGTCCACTGCCAGGGCTTTAAGCACTGTCCAGCGGTAGGTCACATTGGCGTCACGTATGCGGCGGGTCACTGGGCCCAGGGATCTCCTCCACTGATGGGTGTACCTGGTCCTGGTAGAAAGTGAGACTGGCATTTTCAAAGTCTAGCAGTGTTTTGCCTCTTGTAGGGGCAAAAATGTTGTTTCTATCCGCTAAGGTTTGGCATCGCAGGATCACGTCGCTGTTTGTTAGGGGAGGTACCTGTCTCGGTTTACTGGTGCGAAAGATCCCTGCAAATGTCAGCTTCTTTGCCTGCGAGTGTGGTAGTAAGGTTGCAAAGAGGCGTCTGAGGTACTGTGGTAATTCAGAGTAATTTTGCCGTCCCATGTTTGCCGGGTCGGTTGTCCCTCTCTCCGTGGGTGGTGTGGCGGCCGGGATCACCGCGTTACGTAGCACTGCTTCAAGGGCCTCATATGCTGGGTAGGCCCTGACCTTGCGGCGTATTTTCTTGCCCGTCTGTGGGAATCGGAAGGGCATCGGTCGGTCAGTACCGTTTCCCCCTTGCTCTGCTGTGTTTTCCTGACTGGGTCGGCTTGTCCGGCTCGGTTTACCGTTGATTTTCCTCCGGTTTGGCCAGAGCTCACGCGATTTGCGTCTGCTCAGGTCTGTGGCTATGCTCTGCCCCCCTTTAAGAGTTTTAATATGTAATGACACCTTTCTCCAGTTTTGTGGATATCCATAGACTGAGCGTGAGCAAAATCCTGTCTATGACAGGGATTAAAACAAGATGTAGCAGTTTGGCCAAGTATATCAACACTTTTCCTTGCAAAACAGCCACAGTACACACTCAGAAACCTCTTTGTCATTTGTGCAGAATAAGACATTCCAGGTATCTGAAGTGAGAATCATACACATTTAGAAAAGCACACAAATGTACTTCACCTCAATAAAAAAAAGAGTATTGTAATTTGTAAAGGGAAGGAATTACACTCAAAGTTAAACTTAATATGCTGCATTTAGTAACTATACCCCTTTATGGTATACTGGTATTAGAGGAGTTATTACATCCTGCAAATAAAAAGGGCAATTGATATTTTTAGCTCCCTACATTACATGTCACAAGTGTCTCTGTTTAATAGGGACAGTCCCTTTTTTAGGCCCAAACCCATCTGTCCCTCTTTCTATCCTCGTGTCCCTGTTTCATAATACTTGTGAGTCATGAGTGTATAACAGAGCTCCATAACAATAATACTCCCAGTAATGTGTCTTGTGTCTCTTGTGTAAACTACAATAAATGTGTTTAGAAAACACTCTGTAAATAAGATACATTTACAGTGATAGAGTAAAAAGCCAAGGAAAAGTAATGAAACTCTCACTAATTATAAATATACTGACTAAGAATCCTCTAGTGCAGCGTTTTCCAATTGGTTTTCCGCGGAACCCTAGAGAACAAAATTGGATTTCCGCGCTGATTTGCTCATCGGGTGGCCCTGGGTCACCCGATTGGCATTGCTTCAGAGGGACCAGGACAGCGCTGCGGACGATTAATTACGCGACCGGGTCCCCGTAGTATGGGAAGCTGGGAGGAAGTGACGGACAATCATTTCCTCCCAGCTTCATATAGAAAAAGCTGCGCTGGAGGGAGAGAGGCAACAGCCGGCAGTGAGCAGCTCCCCCCACTAAACCAGTCTCAGCCAGCAAGTCACCCTCCTGCAAACTACAGGTATGCTAACAGGAAGGTGACTGCAAATATAAAAAATGACGTGTGTGTATTCGACAGTGTGTATGTGTGTATCTGTGTGTATGTGCCACTGTGTGTATCTGAGTATGTGTATTAATGTGTCACTGTGTGTATCTGTGTGTCAGTGTTTGTGTCACTGTATGTATCTGAGTGTGTGCATGTGTCACTGTGTGTTAGTGAGTGTTTGAGTGTATTCGCCAGTGTGTGTATCTGAGTGTCAGTGTGTGTATCTTTAAGTGTATGTGTGTGTATAGGTGTATGTGCCAGTGTGTGTGTATGTGCCTGTGTGTGTGCCAGTGTGTATGTGTCACTGTGTGTATCTAAGTGTGCGTATCCGTGTGTATGTGCCAGTGTGTGTATCTGTGGGTCACTGTGTGTATCTGAGTGTCAGTGTGTATATCTTTCAGTGTGTCTGTGAGTCGGTGTGCGTGTATCTGTGTATATCTGAGTGTGTTTGTGCTAGCGTGTGTTTCTGTGTGCCAGTGTGTATCTGTGTGTCAGTGTGTATGTGTCAGTGTGTGTATCTGAGTGTGTCTTATATGTGTGTCAGTGTGTGTATCTGAGTGTCACTGTGTGTATCTTTCAGTGTATGTGTATCTGTGTGTCAGTGTGTGTGTATCTGTGTGGTAAGGTGTGCATGTGTCACTGTGTGTATCTGAGTGTGTGTATATGTCTGTGTATCTGTGTGTGTATCTGCACCAGTGTGTGTCAAGATGTGTTCATTTATCAGTGTGTATCTTTGTGTGTGTTTATGAATGTCTGTATATGTGAAGTGTGTTTGTGTGTATCTTGTGTTAATGTGTGTGTATATCTGTGTAAGTATGTATGTGGCAGTGTGTGCATACATCCCAGCAATCAAACACCAACACAACGTGCAAAGACTCCCCTGCAAACACAAACATTACATACAAAAACACGCCTGAATTTAAATTATAAACAAACACACCCTTCACTCACACACCAATACTACATACAAGCATTGAAAAGCCAACACTACATCCAATCACACCTCTACACGCAAATGCAAACATTACATACAAACACCAACTCTACACACAAAAGCACACCTGCTCCTAAGTACTACAATTACTGTTTAATATCTGTAGTAAAAATTGTATATAACAAAAAACCTTAATTTGCAAAAAAAAAAGAAAACATTACTCGCTGCTAATTAAAAGGTTTATGTTACGGCGCAACAAAATAAAGAACAATGTTGAAGTCAAATCAAATAATAGTCCATACAGAATATAAACTTGGGGCAGTTCAGGCAAAATACAGACACTCTGTCCCAAATAAAGGGCAAATAAAAAAAGTGAGAATCATACACATTTAGAAAAGCACACAAATGTAATTCACCTCAATAAGAAAAAGAGTGAGTATTGTAATTTGTAAAGGGAAGGAATTACACTCAAAGTTAAACTTAATATGCTGCATTTAGTAACTATACCCCTTTATGGTATACTGGTATTAGAGGAGTTATTAGATCCTGCAAATAAAAAGGGCAATTGATACTTTTAGCTCCCTAGATATGGTGTCAACCTAATTCAATCCAATTTTTAAGGGACTTGGGGGCAAAATGAAATTGCATTGTTGCTAAAAGCTTCATAACATATTTAAGACATATATAATATATGAAAACAATGCACATGGATGGTGTCCAGCTTGAGAGCCAGTGAAATTAAATATGTCCC